TTCCTGCTGAGCAGGGAGCCCAATGGAAGGCTCGATCCCAGGACCTGAGATCATGATCTAAACCAAAGGCAGATGCTTAATGACTGAGCCCCCCCAGGCGCCCCACATTTGTTGTTCTTATAATATTATTTGTAGCTTTTATTAGAAGGCTAACTATAAATGATTTCATATAAGATTCCTTACCTAAATATGAAAATTCTAACTGATCCTCAGTCCTTCCAAGAAAGGTAAGATCAATAAAATTTATACATACTCTGTGGGAGACTAGACATTGCCATTTTTCTACAGTCACAATTACCTTGCTAAGACAGACTTTTGTTCAAAGAGACAAATTATTAGAATGGACAGTGAAAGGGTCCTGTGAATCATAATGACTTTGCTAATTGGCATTATTTATTCCTCACTGGCTTTGCTCTTTAGCTGGGGGTATAAACAAAGTATCTGTTCTGCTCTTGGAAATTATAAACTTATCAGGAATGGGAGCAAAGATTTTTCTATATAGAGTGCACTTTCCAGAAGCTTTGGATTCCTAATGGCTTGTTCTGAGAAATAATCAGGGCTGTATCTTCTAACTTGTAGGAGTGATACATTGCTTGTATATTTCTTTTTAACCTTAACCATCAGTTAAGAAATCAGTAATTCCTAAATATCCAAAGGACCTAGTGCAGTTTGCAAAACTGTTATACAAACATGTAGCAATAGTTTCCAGGTTTTCTTGTTTTGTTTTGTTTTTAGCAAAATAGAGTTAAATGCAGCTCTGGTATTTATAAAAACAAACAAAAAGGCAAGCGAAAACAACTGTATATGAAACAGGTTCTGATTCAAGAAGTGATCTGAGCATTTAGATTTGTCATCCTTCTTTCCCAAGATTCTACTGAAGTGATAAAGAATGTATAAAGGAGTCTAAATCCATAGTCACAAAGACAGTGAGGGATGGGTTGGGCATCAGCAGTTAAGAGATTGCAACTAATTTCTGGGACATGGAAAGAGGACGTGAGTGTATAGACAGAGGGAGCAAAGTACACAGTGTGTGCAGGAGGGTCCCCAGGGCAGTGGGTCTTCTCTGCCTGACAGATGCCCAGAGTGGGTTTGAACTGAAGTCTGCACGGAAGAAGGGGAAAACTGGGAAAGAGGCTGAAGACAGAATGCTGAAAGGCAAGATTTGCAGGGCATCTGGCTGACTCAGTCAGTGGAACATGAGACTCTCTGGGTTGTGAGTTCAAGCCCCACGTTAGGTGTAGAGATGACTT